AAAAGAAAAAAAAAATTTAAATAATAAATTTTAAATTCTAAATACGAACTCATTTTAACTAGGTGAAAATTTTTTATAAGAGTTTTATATATGAAAACAGAATAAGAGATATTTAAATTAATTGTTTTGATCTAATTGATAGTTAATAATTAATATTTAATAATTAACCATTATTATTATCATTTATAATTTAAAGTATAATTTATTTTATTGTAATCAATTTTTTATAACTGTTTTCCAAACTATAAAACAAACTCCCATAACTTTTTTCAATGTGATGATATATCCAAATCAAACCAGTGTCGGCCTCCCAGTCCTCCACCCACTAGGAGTCGAGAACGGTACCACCCAAAACAGCCCATGCAATCTCCTCCATTCAATCACCCATGAAGCAACCACCCCACAGACCCCGCACCATTGCCACCCCTCCAGCCACCAGCTGAGGGGACACATTCACTTGCCCTTGGGCAGGACAAAACTTGAGCTTGGCTATGCACTACTAGCTAGAAATACCTGAAGAAAATTATAAGAATTACATTGTTGATATTGATGATCGAGTCATTGAAAACTTTTAACGACGCAGAAACGCAGAAAACCTAGTTGACAAGTTGCCGCTGCAGCCTCTCTTGTTATTGTAATTAGTCAAGGATCTGACAATTTAATTTGTCATTGACTTTCAAACATCAGCGACAAACATTGTAGTTGAATTTTGTTGCTGGAATGGTTGGTTGGAGACTTGGAGTTTTATACTTAGGTTAAACACCGTCTCTGTGGCAAAAAAACCCTGAGATATAAATAATTTTAAAAATTACTCACTTCATTTAAATATTAATATATATAAATAATAATTACTATATTATTTGATTTAACACACTTTATAACATATTTATTAAAAAATTATAATTTTTAAATTTGAATTCAAAGAGAGAAAACTTTCAACTATAGAATTTAATGACTAAATTGATGAGTGTTAATTAGTATGTTAAATTGAAAGGTACACTAATCATTTTTCATTCAACAATAGTAGTTTTAATTTGACTTTTAAGATCAAGAGTTCAGTAAAAGTTTAACACATAAGAAAAGTGAAAATCAGAATGTCTTAACATTTTAAATATCAAGATTCTTTATGAAATTATTTAAATATTTTTAATAAACTTTTTTATATGTTGATTCATTCAATGGTATTTTACTTTTTTTCATTATTAGTCTTGATATTTTAAT